ATCTTGAGGCTCGTCTGCTAGTTTGCTTGTGGCCCTCTGTGAACCCCGGACCCCTGCCTGAGATCCACAGAGAGATCGTGTGTGTGTGTGTGTGTGTGTGTGTGTGTCGCTCTAATGATATTTCGACAGACCTTCATGTTCATCTCCTCATGAGGGCCGTCAGCGGGTCATGACCTCCGCAGGCTTTCAGCAGCCGATTCTTGACATTCGATCGCTAGATTGAGCTCGAGCGAGATTTTCCAGCTTCACACACAGTTCTCTCTCCTGCTTTGCATTCAGCGGCTCGTCTGGGCGCAGGTCTGAAAAACACAAAAGTGGGTCAGAAGTGAATAATTTCTTAAGCCCAGCGAATGTCAGAAGACATGGAGGTTCTGAGGGCATTTTAATAAACGGCACCAATATTCAGCCCTGCGGACGGACAGACGGAGAGCGGCCCGGCGACTGCAGGCTCAGGCGTGTGATCGCAGCGCCGGAACGCAGACGTTTTAAGAAAACCCTCGCAGTGCACTCGTGTGCATTGAGGCTTTTAATGCTAAACAGACGCCCCACAAACACGACGCTCAGAGAAACACATCAGTCTATTAGAATCAGAGAAATCGAGTGTGTTGAGGAGAGCACTTAGATCAGAAGCACCCGCTGAACTGCATAGCAACACCTTGACAACCACCATAAAAATAAAAAAAATCAGAAATGAATTTCATGGCCATGCTGACGGTTGGAGTACATGAAGTGACTGATGGTTGTGTGATGTCATGGAAAGGTGAAAAGTGTCATTTCTGTGTCATTTAAGGCTGCGCAATTTTTCAGATTTTATTAATTTGAATATAATGTTTTGCACCCTTTTTTTTAAAACAAGGAATCGTGGTTTTAAGTAAAAATATTAGCAAACATTGAAGGAGAGTAACATATCGTAAACACATCCATCTAGTAATGCAATGGAAAAGTAGTTCAGAATATTTGATATTTGATGTTTCGTAATGCTGACAGACTGAAAGCTGCTGATGTTTTCATTTACTCTTACTGCTGTTATACTGTCTGTCATTTTAAGTTTTAATCGTTTTTGAGTTGACCTCTAAAATTGAATGCTAAGAAATATTTTCTAATTTTCCTTATTTTATATTATTTCTGAACATATAGGATGTTTAAGTACAATATTTGCCTTTATATTTCACGTATCTTTTCTGCAAAGATATTTAACAAGTTAATTTATTTTAAGTTTATAGTATGTTGAACTTCACGTGTGCTGCATGTTGGAATAGAGCTTTCTTTGACCAGATGTTTCTGCAGTTGCATTGTGATGCTGAAACGACAGACTTCAGTTTTAAACCATCTCAGATTGAGGAGGCTGAAACACACACACACACACACACACACACGTCTCTAATGCACTGGAGTTGATCTGGGACTGTCCTGGAGCGTTTACAACACACACGCCAGCACACGACTCATACAGTCAGGCTCGTCAGCTGTGTTTTTGTTTTGGGCGGCACAGCCATGGTAATGTCCTCTGAGAAGAGCGCATGAACGCTGCGCTTGGCACGACGCGATACTGTTGATTTTACGAGAGAATAAACACAAGCGGCGAGTGTGTGTGTGATTATGAGCCTCACACCCTCCACACGAGTTTCACCCAATGACGACAGTGACTTTGAAGTCATAATGATTGGAGGCCTTTATGTGTGTGTTTCATAAGAAAGCGTGTGTGTGTCGGTGGTGTGATTGTGGGACTGGGCAGGAGGCGAGTGTTCTGGCAGCGTCGAGGTTTTGTCATGAGTCTGGTGTTCCTCCCCCAGAGCTGCTGATGAGTCATGATGATCTTCACTCATTAGTGCTGTTCCCTACATACTGAACCTGAGAAAGAGCGCAAGAGAATAGCCAGAATCCCTTCTGAGGTGAGAAATGAAGTAAACACACACACACACACAGCAGAAAGTTTCGAAAGTCTTGCTTCACTTTGCTGAGACGGACCTGCTTACAAGCTCTTTCACCACGTCAGAATTCCTGCTGTGTGATGAATGAGACGGACACATGCAGCAGCTGGAATCACGTACTAAACTCCGTCCTACAACAACAGCCAAAAATAGAGATTCTGCCATCATTTGCTCCCCCTCATGTTGGTCAAAACGGTATGATTTTAATTTTTCAGTGTCGTTGAGCAGAACATTCACGCTGCTCTGTTACATAACACTTCATATTGATAGTCCACTTTAGAAATTGTTTAAACTATACTAACTGCACTCTACTACTAACTAAATCTGCTTAACATCTGCTGGCACTGTATTTTGATGGACATTCTATTGACTATAAGTAATGTACATGTCAACTTATTCTTCTAACCCTAGCCCTAACCTAACAGTCTACTAATACTCTAAGAATTAGGTGACATGTAGTTGTAAATTAATATTAGTTGACATGTAGTTGTAAAGTAATGAGATAGTTGACGTAGTTGTAATTAATGAGATCTAATTGACATGTAGCTGTAAACTATAGTTAGTTGACAGTTGCAAATTAATGAGAGTAAGTTGGCGTGGTTGTTGTCACACCTTGTCTCTGTTTGGACTTTGTTTGCACCGTTTTCTCTGTCAGTGTAGTTGTCATGGTCACTGATTTGAGTTCATTATGTTCAGCTGTGTCTTGTTAATTATCCTCGTTTGCTGTGTGTATTTAAGTTCCTGTCTGGTCAGTTCTAGTTTTGTCAGGTATTGTTAATGTCTGTGTCTATGTCTATGTGTGTCACTAGCCTCCCTCTATGTGGATTTACCTTTATTGTGTGGATTAATTAAAGGCTGATAAACCTTCTTTATCATTGTCTGCGTGTTCATCGGCACTAGCTAAACGTGACAGTTGCAAAGTAATGAGTTAGTTGACATGTAGTTTTAAATTAATGAAAGTTAGTTGCCATGTAGTTGTACATTTATGGTAGCTGCCATGTAGTTGTACGTTTTGTCACCTGTACGTTCCATTTTGGTTTAGTTTTCTGTATTTCCGTTCTCCTGCCTTTTTTGTCTCCATGGTTTTTGATTAAGTGGGTCCACACCTGTTTCAGTTTTCCCTGATTACGTTCCCTGTGTTTATGAGCCCTGTGTTTTCCTCAGTTGCCTTGTCTTGTGTTGATGTTGTTTGGTGGTAGTGTTCTCCAGTGTTTCCTTTGGAATTACCAATTAAAGACTCTATTTTGGATTACCCCTTCGCCGTGTTATTTTTCCCTACCTACCCATGACAAATTTATGTTAGTTGACATGTAGTTGTAAATTCATGATCGTTAGCTGACATGTAGTTATGAATTTGTTAGTTGACATGTAATTGTAAATTTATGTTAGTTGACCTGTAGTTGTAAATTCATGATAGTTAGATGACATGTAGTTATAAATTTGTTAGTTGACCTGTAGTTGTAAATTAATGTTAGTTGACGTAATTTTAGTTGACGTAGTTGTACATTTATGTTAGTTGATATGTAGTTGTAAATAATGATAGTTAGTTGACATGTAGCTGTAAATTAATGTTAGTTGACATGTAATTGTAAATTTATGTTAGTTGACCTGTAGTTGTAAATTAATGTTAGTTGACGTAATTTTAGTTGACCTAGTTGTACATTTATGTTAGTTGATATGTAGTTGTAAATAATGATAGTTAGTTGACATGTAGTTGTAAATTTATGTTAGTTGACCTGTAGTTGTAAATTAATGATAGTTAGCTGACATGTAGTTATGAATTTGTTAGTTAACATGTAGTTGTAAATTGATGTTAGTTGACGTAGTTGTAAATTTATGTTAGTTGATATGTAGTTGTAAATAATGATAGTTAGTTGACATGTAGTTGTAAATTTATGTTAGTTAACATGTAGTTGTAAATTGATGTTAGTTGACGTAGTTGTAAATTTATGTTAGTTGACATGTAGTTGTAAGTTAATGAGAGTTAATTGACATTATTCAATTAGCTGTAAATAATTAAGAGTTGACGTTGCAAAGTTACTTATAAGTAGTTTAATGTCTACACTGTAAAAAATGACCGTGGATTTAACGGTAAAAGACTGTAAGCACTTCCACATCATTCCGACACAGAATCACATAGAGAAGAGACAGAGAGATGGAAGACAAGAAAAGACGAGCGTCCATCAGGCTTTGTGTGATGACCCTGAACCTGTTCATACAGACATTTAGAGCTGCTCCGACGCTCCTTCACACACTCATTCTCTTGAAAGTATTTCTGGTCCAGATCCTCAGGATCTCCTCATCTCTTCAGAAGTTTCAAACCTTTAATACACAAATTCTTCAGAAGTTTAAACCTTTAATACACAAATTCATGTTAGTGAGCTGCTGGAAGAAAAAGAGAAAATACAAACAACTTAATTAACTGTTTCATTACATGCAGCAGCGTTTCTGTTCTTAAGAAACTGTTGGATGTTCAGTTGCGGTTTACGTGCCTGGAGAAGATGCACCGTTCTTTCTTTTGAGGCGATCTGAAAGGTTTTTTCCTCTTTAATTGAATGGCTCATGACCAGCAGTTAATGTCTTGCATATGCAGCACTGGCGTGGGTTTGGAGGCTGTAGTGACTATTACACATATGGAAAAGGTTACGTAAGATCGCAGTCACACCGCCTGCTCACGGGGAGAACGGCATGCTGCGGATACCAGCGCTAAGAACTCACAACATCTGACAAAGTTTGACTCATTTGACAAAACTAACCAGAAAATGATCATTACAGCCACATTAGACATCAGCAACAACTCAAACTAACTGTTTTAAGGTTAGCATGCATCCATTGTGAGTTTACAGTTTTTTCAGCTGCTTCCACACAAGATCTGTACTTGTCACACAGTTTCTGAAAGCTGTCACTCAAACAGCAGAAGCACACACCAACAAGAGGATACGGCTCACTCATTACTCAATGCAACACTATATATACTGCCGACTCTTTCTGACAAATAGCCAGTGAAACAGTGAAAAATGCAAGTGAAAAAATAAGGTGACTTTTGCTCACACATGCATAGTATTGTCCTTATCAACAAACTCTAGTTTTAAGTAAGAATTTGACTTCTCCCTCTCGCTGTAACCCTGAACAGATTCTTGTCCTTTTATAAACGTAAAACTGAACTTTGTTTGTGATCTTCAGTATGTGCTCTAAATATGACCATATTTCATAAGTTCAGTGTTATTGTGCAGTTTAGTGAAAGTGAGTTCAGTGGCTACAAAGAATGATTTATTGATGTGCTCTATAAATCATCGTAACATATGTTTTTCCATTATTTTAGCTCAGCAAACGAATTGAACCAATTTCAACTTCATCTTTATGTTATATGAGATTCACTTCGATTGTTTAAAGTCAGTTTGATATAATTAAAGTTGAAATGACTTGTACAGTTTGATTATACCTAAAAAGCCACTGAAGTTAGGTTTTTATTTGTGTAAGTCGGTGTAAATGTTCACAGCGCAGATGTTAGTAATCGATTGATGAGTTACTCACTGACCCAGTGATATTTGTTTTGTTTTACAGCAGTACAATCAGCTGGTTTTTAATTGCGCAATGTTTTTGTCATTTTAAACTATGTTTTAGAGATGAACTGTACCTACTATGAATGCTTAATCCGAATTGTTCAGAGTGAACTCTTAGGTGTTCTGCTCTTAATTATATAATGAAGAACTGAAGTCAAATTATTTACACTAGCAGTCAAAAGGTTTTGAACTGTAAGCTTTTTAATGGTTTTTAAAGAAGTCTCTTCTGCTCACCAAGCCTGCATTTATTTGACCAGAAATACAGCAAAAACAGTAACATTTTGAAATATTTTTACTAGAAGAGACTTCTTTAAAAACATTAAAAATCTTACTGTTCAAAGACTTTTGACTGGTAGTGTGTGTACATGAAAAAAGGCATTTTTAACATTTGAAATGAGTAAGTTAGGCTTTAGAGCTTTAAAGATGTTTTAACTGTACCTTACATGGATTTGGCTTGCTAAGTTAAGTTAAATTCTTCAATTCTGGCAATATCGAACTGACTTTAACTGAAAAACGGACTGTTTACTGTCATCCTCTTGTGTTATTGACACAGTAAATGCAGTAAAGCTGCTTTGACACAATCTGTATTGTTTAAAGTGTAATAGAAATAAAGCTGACATGACTACAGCTGGCACAAGTGTTCTTCTTTGTGAACTGACTGTAAGAAATATTGTATTGTAAAATATGCATAGATAATATTAATCATGATTTCTCTAGTAGGCAAATAAAATAAATGTCACATGAAAAAAGTATGTGTCTGTAAGGACTAGTTTTGTGTGTACTGTAAAATGTAAGAATCAGGTTGGGCCCTGTGTTATCATGAGCTTCAGGAACACATTCAGCTTCTGTGCATTTGAATTATAATTAACAACACTGTAACTGTAACAGACAGAGAGTTAATAGCCAGGCTTTAAACCCGTTCCTGTAGCGTCTGCGGTGTTTGTTTGTGACTCGATCTGTGGCTTCCGTCGCAGGCGTGAGAACATGAAAACACTTCTGATCTCGGCTCTAACGGCTCAGGATTGTTCTGGAGGTTCCTCTGCATTTTTAACGTGCCGGTCGAGTAATTAAAAGAGATTAAGAGAAATGTGGGAACACGTTTTACTGCAATCAGCACACAATGTCATGCTCACGCGCTAACGTGATTACCGTAATCCGATTTGTAATCTGCCTCCAAAAATGGCGTTGTTACAGAACCATCTTTGGGGGATTTTAAGATGTAAATCAGCTTGTACTACCTTCCATCTGTTTTACGATCATTTGGCCTTCTTTTGCCGATCCAGTGAAATGAACAGAGCTCCAGAGTTGCACAAAACGATGATAAAAGGCGGTTTGTGTTCGGTTTTGTATGGTCCAGCGGATGTGAATGCAGGAGCTCCAGCCGTTAGCGCACTAATTAACGGCTGTTTAGTGCAAACGATACGGCGTCCTCATCCTCTCCCATCCGTCCGCGCTTCTTCTGCCAGCCTTTATTTTCAGGCTGCTGTATGAAATTTGAATAAGCCTCTCATATAAATCCAAAAACATCAGTCTGGAGACGAGCGCGGACCGGATTAAACTCAACGTGATGAAGGCATCACTAATGTGACTGACACAAACAGACAGATGAACATTTCCTTCTTAATTTTTAGAATATCTTCACTTTATTTGAAGCTGCTCTGCTGAAAGACGTCAGACCGAATCCAAGCGCAGCGAGAAGGTCACGCTGGTTTCAGAGAGTCTATCTGAAGGCAGGCAGCGCTGTGATCGCTGTACTTGTTGTGATGTTGCTATAGTACTTCGACAAACAAGGCCACATGTGCTCCAGCGTTCAGAGGTTTGTTGGACGCCAGCTATAGCGCTGCTGATGCCAGATATTTATGTAAACCTCTGGAGATGCTAGAAAGACGCACACAAACTTCAGTGCATTTCTGTAACAATCTGAATAAAGCGTGTGTAATGAAAGTGAGCTGGGAATGAGGTGAGGAGTGGAGGAGATTTCAGCAATAACAAAAGACAATGAAGGACAGAAATCACAAGCTGACTCTTTACTTTAAGGAAAATGTTATTTTACTTTTTTGGAAAAAAAAAAGAAAGACATCTTTTAAACACATTTCTTGGAATATTGGCGGAGCAACATATATAAACATACATTCACACACACACACACACACACACACACACACACA